TGATGCTTCCTCTTTGATATTTGATGAACAATTTCCTATTGCCCAAAGCATCGCTGGTGGCAAGTTGCTGGTTGCTGTTGGCTTTTCCCACGGCTACGCACAAGAATGTTTGTGCTCAGGACCCATTCATTAATAAAACAAATTTTATGTGCAATTGTTGGTTTGTTTTCCTTTCCCTTTTTGCCCAGGTCTGGCTGTCCTATAGGCTGAGAAGACTATCCAGTCTTCCTTTTGATTGCATAGTGGTACTTGTTTGGGCATCAAACTGGCATCAGGGTGGATCTCGTAGTCATCTTTTATTACTTTAAGGAATACATCCTGCTGTAAGAATTAGAAAGACAGCAGATAGCACAAGGAAGAAGGTGCAGAAGTTTTTGAGTCAAAGAAAACAACGTAACAAAGCTCTGTGATTGAGCTGAACGTAGAAGACTCTATCCCAATGTGTGTCTTAAAGACCTGCCTTTGGATATAGCTTTAATATTCGGTTGTCCTTTCCTTCTAAGCTAGTATCAAACACGGTCAGGCATTTATTTGGTTGTTTTGTAGGAAAGGATATTCTCTGAAAGCTGTATCTTAAAATAAGAGAAGTGATAACGAAAACCAAAGCATCTTGTTTTTCCTTGGTGTGTGTTAGCTCATATTGGGTTTTACAGCCCAGATATGTAAGAAATGGAGGGAACTGAGAAGGGGCACAAGTGCACACATGCACGCGTGTGCGCTGACACAGGCGCTATTATAGGTAAAGGATTAAGCATCTTGAAGGAATAAGCCAATTATAAGAAGTTCCTGCACAGCAAAAATTAGACAACACAGTAATTAATAACCTTATTAAATAGCAATATTTGGGCACTGAACCAAAGCGTATGAATCAGAGTGAGGCATTCTTGGCTGCACACGCTGGGTGAAGTGTAGACACTTGTGCAGAATGCTTTCTAGATAACTGAATAAGCTGTGGGGCAGTGTATCTACTTAGCAGCTAGTTTTTCCTCTTGTCCTTTCACGTTTATGCGAGGCTCCCTTCTTCTTTGGGCTAGGAAGGCAGCAAAAGGACAAGGTCTCTGAGGTTCTCAGCATCCTCTCTGTGGCATGGGAGGGGTCTGTCCGTGTGCCCTAAGCCATTGAGGAGCACAGTGACCCCGGTGTGGTGCTGGGTGCTGCTGAGGGCGTGCAGCTTCTCTGCAGAGTGCTGGAGCTGTTGTGCAGAAGTGCAGGGCTGCAGATGGCCATCTGCTGTGTGCGGAGCATGGGCCAGGGACAGCCTGTCTGCTGCCTTCCACGGCAGTTCTCATTTTCTTCCAAAGTCCCTGGAGCACTGATGCAGCCTCACAAACCAGGCGTTGTCAGAGCGGTGGTGCAGCCTCCTGGAAGAGATGTTAAGGCACGTGTGAGATGAGGAGGTGATCCAAGACAGCACAGCTTCATCAAGGACAGAGCGTACCTGGACAATCTGATGGCCTTCTGTGATGGAGTGACAAAGTGGGTAAAGGAAGGGCAACTGATGTCATCTGCCTGGAGTTCTGCAAGAACTTTGACACAGTCCCGCACCACATCCTGATCTCTGAATTGGAGATGGATTTGAAAGCTATATTGCTGGTGGATGAAGAGTTGGTGTGATGTTCACAGCCAGAGGGTTGTGGTCAATGGCTCAATGTCCAGGTGGAGGCTGGTGATGAGTGGTGTCCCCCAGGCATTTGACTTGGGAATGGTGTTCTTCAGTGTCTTTATCAATGACACAGTTGGACTGAATGCACCCTCAGCAAGTTTGCTGACGACACTAAGATGAGTGGTGTAATTGACACGGAGAAGGAAGGGATGCCATCCCACGTGGACCCACGTGAGCCTAATGAGGTTCAAGAAGGTCAAGGACAAGGTGTTGCACTTGAGTCAGAGCAATCCCAGGCGTGAGTACAGACTGAGAGAAGAGCTCCTTGAGAACAGACCTATGGTAATGACCAGGGGTCCTGATGGACAAAAAGCTCTGCATCGGCCAGCAGAGTGCTCCTGCAGCCTGGAAGGCCAACAGCATCCTGTGCTGCACCAGCAGAGGGGGAGGCAGTGGGCAGGGAGGTGATTGTCCTCCTCTGCTCTGCCCTTGTGAGGTCCCACCTGCAGTGCTGTCCAGGCCTGGGGCCTCCAGCACAAGAGAGATGTGGGGTTGTTGAAACAGGTCCAGAGGAGGCCATGAAGATGCTCAGTGGGCTGGAGCACCTCTCCTAAGGAGACAGGCTGAGGGAGATGGGGGTGGCTCTGGGAAGACCTCACTGCAGCCTTCCAGTGTTTGGAGGAGCTTTTAAGCAGGAGGAAGAATAACTTTTTACATGGTCTGGTAGTGATAGGACATGGGATAATAATTCTAAAGTAAAAAAGTAAAAATATAGGTGAGATGTTAGGTGAGATTCTTTTCTCAGAGGTGCTGGCAGTGCTGCCCAGAGCTGTGGGTGCCATCCCTGGAGGTTCTCCAGGCCATGGAGAGGTCCTGGGCAGCCTGAACTGGGGGGGCAACCAGCCCATGGCAGGGGTTTCAAACCAGATGATCTTCATGTTCCCTTCCAATCCAAGCCATTCTTTGATTCATTGATGAAGCCTCACATATCCAGCCTTGCCACAGCATGCATGGAAGTCTCTGCAGCTGCCTGGTGAGCTCACCCAAGGCAGAAAACTGCCCAGAGCACCAGTGAGGGTTTCTGTGGCTGATGACAAGCTGTAGGTGCCCAGTGTGCAGAATCGGACTTGCAGAATGCTTGGTGTCCTGGCCTTTGTACGTATCTTCTGATGTGCTGCTTGGCACAGTAAATATTTTTGAAGCTCTGCTGCTCTTTTTAAGCCCATTTTATCTTATCTTTAAGGGAAATCAAATATGCAAATTATGAAATCAATTAGCATCTTTGTAGTTTTCTTTGGAGAGACAGAGATAAATGGTGTTGTGTTTCCAGAAATCATTTCTGTCCCTTGTTACGTGTTGCAGAGGAGGTTGTAGAACATACAGGGGAAGGAAGCAATTATTTTTTTTTCAGTGGAAGAGATTTTAGTGTATATCCTGATCACGATCCTTGGTGTAAGGGGAGGTGGAGCACATGACTCACAAATATTTTTTGTGTAAGGGATTCTGGTGTCTGTCCAAGAGGACTTTGTGGCTTTCTGTGAGCAGTGGTCATCCGGGCTGGAGGCTTCCTGGCGTGTGCATCAGGTGCTTTCTCTGTGCTTTGTTTGTAAATGCCACTTAGCGGGAGCAGTGGGGGACTCCAGGCTGCGTGTTGGGAGGAGTTATCGCTCCTCGAGCCCTGTGACACCACCTGAGGTGTGCAGTAATAGCCCTGGGTACAGTGACTGCCATGTCCTATTGCTTACGGCTTCCATTCGAGACACACTTCAAAGTGAAATCTCCATGTTGGTAATGGGCTATCAGTTGCTTTGCCCTCTTCATCCTTGCTGCAGTCATCTGCCATAAAATTTTAAGTGCATTGGCCATGGGAGAGAAACAAGAGGCAGGAGGTCAAGTGAGACAGAATAATAATGGGGTTTATGTATTTTTTATTCTTTTTGCCGTGGCAGTTTTCAGCCCAGTGTACAGAAAGTGAGATGAAAACACCAATGAGTCGGGCTACAGGGATGGGCCAGATGCACACAAAAGCTTTTGCCAGTGCTGCAGCGTGGGTAAGGGATGCACTAGCTGGGAAAAAGGATGCTTGCTGCCACTGGGAAAGCTGTCCTATAGCTCCTGCAGGGGGCTGACACAGCTCTGTCACTGATGGGAGGGATCTGCCCAAGCTGGGGGCAAAGGGGTGGCTGCCCACACCAGTGGCTGTGTGAGTTTGTAACTGTTTGCAGGTCACTGGGCAAGAAAACAATAAAGTTGCTTGGAGGTGTTTCAGTGAGTATTTTAAAATGAGTGGCTTATTTGAAATTAAATAAATACCTTTTGGGAAAATACATCAGTAAATTCATGAGTAACATGAGTAAATTAATCTTTGATGGTAAATGTATACCATCTTCCTCCCCGGATTTCCTTCTCCTCCAAGGGGAAAAGACAGCCTTAGCTCTGCAGAAATGTTGGGAATAGAGTAAGTTCTGCTGGAAAACTCTGAAGATCTGGAGCAGGCAGTTAAATTTTTTGATATTTCTGCCCAGCTTCCCCCATTTTGAAGCAATGCTGTGTTATGAGGAGTCCTCCATGGCTTCCCTTAGCTGGGCTTCTCTGCTTCTGGACCTCTGGGAGAGCCTCAAGTGGCTTTGCAGTGGTGTACATGCACTGTCTGTGGATGTCTCTTTGCCTGAAGAATGAAAGCTTTCAGGCTGCTGGTGCAAAGTGTGAACAACCTGGGCCGCTCTGTGCCCGTAGAATTGCCTTGCTGTGATGCTGGCCATGCACCAGACTTGGCCGCAATGCCTTCTGTCCCTTTTACTCCTTCAGTGCTTTGTCCAGTGTAGCATTTGGAGCTGAGTTGCTGCAGGAGAAGCACAAGTGGTTCAGAAGCAATCCAGCACTGCTCTCCCAGACCAGAAGTGAGGTTTGACATTTGCATGGCCAGGGGCCGGAGTCTGAAAATCTCATTAAAAGAAGGCGAGCTACCAAGTTCTGCGGCCTTAGGAGAGCTTTGTTTGCTGTTGTTTTAACTGGCAGTCATTGCTATGAGCAGAAATCTGTGCGGTGTTCGTGTTGGCGGGCGCTGCTGCCCCAGGGTTGTGGTGCTGCAGCTCAACTTCCAGCCCTGCCCGCAGCTCCATCGCGTGGCAACAGCAACCCATGGCTGTGCTGGGATGGGCACCGCTGCTCCTGGGGCCATGGTGGGGTGCGAGGCTGTTTTCTCTACCGAGTGCTGGGCTCTGCAGCACTTTGACCTTGATCAGTGCTCTAGGCTTAACTAATTAGCTACCACAACTGTTGATATAAGAAGGGGGAAAAAGAAAGTTGCAGTTTCTCTTGTAACTCTTCTTCCTTTTTCTCTCTGCGTTGCCTTGTGCATAAGTTGTTTTGGAGCCCTGAGCTTGCATCTTACCTCAGCCCTTGCCCTCAGGGTCTGCGTGCTCTCAGTACTGCCTGCACCAGTGCTGCAGGAGCAGCGCAGTGAGCACAGCCCAGGACGTTGGCTTCCTCCCTGTCCCTTCATTACCTGGCTGATCTGCTGCATGGCAGGGCTCTGACTCTCTCTTTCTTTCTCTCCCTTTCTCCTCCTCTCTTTCTCTCTGTCTCTTGCAGTATGCAGTACTGGGCCAGAAGGCTGGAGCAGGAGATTGATGGCGTGATGAGGATATTTGGTGGCGTCCAGCAGCTCAGAGGGGTAAGCTGTCTGTCTTTTATCTGTGCTGCCTTCCTCGTGGCCGTGAACATCCCCATTGCAGCAGTCACCCCCGTGAGCACTCGTGGTGTGTCACGCTCCCAGCTGGCTCCACGTGCCGGGACACAGCTGGCTGTGCTGCTGCTTGCTGCTCTGTGCCGTGCACTTAGCAGGCATGTGGGAGTGTATGTGGCTTGCATCTGTCTGCTTCTCCAGGGCCGCATGTCACTGCTGCCTGAGCACGTCCCCGTGTTTCTGCATGGCATGCTGAACGCGTCTCGAATCCAACCGTTCCTCCAGCACTGAGGGTGGTTTAATTTGTGCTTTAATTTCAAACTTCTGTTGACCAAGCAGGAAATGTCCAAAGGGTAATTTGACTAACATTGGAAGTGATGTGTTTTTAAAGAGAGATTGCGGGTAAAACTGCAATACTTGATTGGCTTCTGTTCTCCCAGGGCCACAAAGCAAATCCCTGTTAGTGCTGCTGCCACATAATGACCCGAAGTGGGCACGGTGGTGCTCCTGGGCTGGAGTGGGCAGCTATGGGAGGGGCACTTAGGGGAAGCTTCACTGTGTTCTGTGAACCTTGTGGATCAAAGAGTCTCTAGGACCTGCATGGTTCCCCTTCCCAGCACTGTTTGCCAGCCAAGCTGTGATGAAATGCAGTGATTTGAGCTTAGAGTTATGGCATTAATCTAAAGAAAGTAGGCTTCTTGAGCAGATGGATGTGTTACCCCAGAAACAAGCATGGGGTGCACTCAGGTTTTCTCATGACAGGGGCATGTCCTTAGAAGCCAGTGGCGTATGGGCCTCTTGCTGCCTTGTGCCAGTGGCTATACTGGTTTCAACAGTTGTTCACCTCCCACGCCCCTGGTCATCATCCACTGCCTAAACACAGAAGTTGTGCTGGTTTCTTTTCAATGCGCTTCAAAACAAGTTGAATTGAAGGCCTGCAAAGCTGTTCACAGTCTGGCCATTTGCTTGTATCACATTTGTGCTTCAGAGAGGTGTGTCTGGATTTCTCTTGCGTTCTCTTCCCCAGGACTGATAGACACTCAGTGTGCTGCATGGAGAGCATACACACCCCTTTGGGTTGGCCACATATTTTGATGGCATCTCTGCATTTCTGCAATGCGGTTTTGCATGTTGGCAAGGTGTGGAGTCAGAGCTGAGGATGCAGGTTTTCCAGGCAATACAAAGGCACGACAGGCTCTGTAATCTATAGCAAAGCACAACTAAAAAAAAAAAAAAAATAGTCTGCCACTACATTTGGTACATGTCCTCTCTTACAATTTATTCTTATTAGCTTTGATTTTGCTCCTTTGCATGCTAAATAGGTATATCATGTAATTTTTTTAATGCTGTAATTAAATAGAAATTACACCTCCAATTTGCCAGCACTTGACTCCTATTGGCCAGTCAGTCAATTACAGGTAAGAGAGCTTCCCACTTTTTCTGCTTAACTCTTCTGATAGAACACAGTGCGTCGCTGTAATGGATTGATACAGGATGAACTGAATACAGAAGGACTGAAGGGTTTTTTTGGTGTTTTTTTTTCTTTTTTAAAATCTGTTTTGGAACCATTCTGTGAAGCGAGGAGTCGTGCACAATTATTGTCTGTTGAATGTTAAAACCACCTGAAGTCAAGAGATGAGCTATTGAAAATTCCAACGTGCAGCTGTTAAAACACCAGCTAAGAGTAGCGGAGGCTTTCTGTGGGTCTCCCTGGGGGTCTGGGGCTGCGGAGTTCAGGTTTGATTCATAAATGGAATATCAAGTGAAGTACACTTCTCTCAAAGACCACATTACTTGCAAGTGCTAATGTGAAATTACACAGAGTGCTTCATCCTGAGGAATTCAGCACTGCACATCCTCCTACCTGCCAGTTGCAGGCAGGTGTATCCAGGCTGCAGTATGAGAAGTGTTTAATGTCATAAAGTGGCCCTATAACCTGCGCTGAGACAGTAATCAATAAAAATCCCTCTTTTGCGTGGTGGAAACAGAGCCTTTGTGCCCCTATGCCCGCAGGATGTGTGGTTGTATCCCTCCTGCAGCCCCTGCCACGATCACCATGCTGCCAAATGGAGTGCCACCCACCCAAGGATGGCTCTTCTTTTCACTCTGAAGTCATATCCTAGGATGAAATTCTTTAAATTGTTTTATCCTGCAGTAAAGAATATTACCCTGAAAATCTCTCTCCATGGCCCTAGTGCACAAATGTGTTCAGGGCATTTCCCAACTGCCCGCACTGAACTCCTTTCTTCCAGCACTTTTGCACAAGATGGTCAGACGTGCTGCTATCAGAGAAGCTGCCAAGGTTTTCTGTTCAGCTTTTTGATCTTGGGTAACTACTGGCCTAACAGTAACATGGCCTGGATCACCCAATGAGCTGTGGGATTGCATCGTGTTTGTTTTGCTCGCTTTTGTTGTGCCTGCATATGGAAACACGCAGCGGGCCGTTCAGGAGGGATGGGAAGTTTGGAGGGTGTTTGTGGTGCTTCCAACCAGCTGTGCTGCACACTGAGACCATGTCCACACCAGCTGCTGGGCAGAGTGGGCTTCCCAGTCAGCAGCGCTGAGTCTTCACGCTCATGAGGTTCAAGGCCAAGAGGTTGGGATCCTGACCTCCTGATGCTCCATCCTATACCATAACCCACAGACTGACTTCAGAACCCTGCAGCACAGTGCCCCTGGCCTTTTCCTTTGGCAGCCAGCCTCAGGTGGCAGAGAAGCAGTGCACATGTCAGGTGCCCACCTGCCCGCAGCAGGCACTGCCTGGGGTGATGCTCCTCACCCTTTGCTGTTCCTCCCCTTCCCCCCCAGGCTGCCCCTGCACTGCTGCTGTGTCCTCCCCTGCTCCTCAGGGCTGATAAGAGGAAGTGTGCGATGCCAGATAAACACATCCCTGTTCCAAACTGCTTGGGTTTATTTTAATCTGCCTGGGCCGTTCCGCAGCCTCAGCACTCCGCTGAGCGCAGAGCCAACAGTTTATTATCAAGGAGGAGTGCTTGGATGTCCTCAGCCTCGCAGCAGCTCTGCTCGGGGAGGGCAGTCTTGTGCCATCCTTCGCAGGGACAGTGCCTGCTGCCAGCACCCATCGTCCCACTCCTCTTCTTCCCTACAGGAACCATATTGCATCCATCCTGGAAGACGTCAGGGAAGCATATGCTCCAGCTTTTAGTGCATTTGCATAATTAGAGTAATGTGTATGAATAATTTATGACCGCATGTGGCTGCTCTCGGTGTGACGTTAGCACCCTCACTAAGCCCTTCCCAGCACGGGTGCAGGTCTTGCTTCAGGGTGCTGTGCAGGTGCAGGAGCCTGCTTTGAGGGATGGGGTGTATTTACGTGTGTGTGTGTGTTGGTGGCTTAGCAGAGAAAGGTGGGCTGCTGCAGCTGCAGGCTGGCAGTCTGAGGCTAAAATGCCTTCAGCTCACACACTGAAAACCTGCCCCCTCTATGCAGAAGCTGTGAATTGAAATGTTCTGCAACATTTCAAAGCTGAGGCCGGGATTTTTCCAGCAGGACTCAGGTGCGACTGGTTTGTTCGTTTGTGCCAGATTTTCATGACTTTTTTAGATCATAGAGCAACTTATCAGCCTGCGTGGGAAGGGAATAGACCTGCCTGTGCTGAATGGCAGAGCCTGGGCACTGTCTTGCTGTTTGCCAGCTCTTTCTGTGTAGGTTCCAGGACTGGAAAGCCCAGCTCTGGAGGAGCGATCTGAGTGGTTGAAATGGGGCTTTCACATTCTAGCTAATTTTAGTTGTACTTGCTCCATCTCTGTTGCTGGGGACTGAGAGCAGCGTGAGAGCTGCAGGACAGCTTATGAGTTACCCACTGGGAAACTGAACGGGTGCTTGGGGCCAGGGCTGCTGACCAAGGTGTGATGTGCCTGGGGACACATGCAGCAGGGTGATGGGCACAGCAACAGCCCTCACTTGGAACCCTTTCACTTTGCAAAACTGTTCAGGGGGGATAATACTCTCACATTTGGTTGGTAGCAAAGTCAGAGGGGACTGACGCCAAGTTTTATGGAGGTGCTGATAATTTGTGCTGCTGTCAGCAACAAGTTAAATGAGCCTGGTGCTCAACGAACAGCTCAGGTGCGTGCATCTCCTGCGTGTGCTCCTCTGCACTTCGTGCCCAAAGCGCACCTGATGTGCTTAGCCAGCCAGCTGCCATGCACGTGGCACTGCTGCAGTGGGTGCTGTTGGCAGTGCACAGCCACCTGGACCTTTGGGGATGATGGGGGCCATGGGAAGGCTGCAGGAGGTCCCGCTCAGCCCAGTGGTCGTGCCCTGGGTTAAGGGCCTGGTGGGGTCCTCCCATCAGCTTCAGTTCAGATTGCTGCCCTCAGACTGCTGAAAAACAGCCAGGCAAAATCCCAGCCAGCCTGCCAGAATGCAAACTGAATAATGAGGTGGAGGTCATTATAGTTTGCCTCCTTAAAAACATACATAGATTATTCTTAATGGAGAGTTAATTGTTTTATTATTCTCTCCAGATGGTTCTTTACGTTCGCAGGGGAATGGATGTAGCCTGGGATCCAGACTGCTGCGAGTGGAGCTGATAACCAAAAATGCAGCTCCAACGCAGATCAGGATACGAAGTAATAGAATATATGTACATATTCCACCACAGTATCAGATTTTAAATGTTATTTGCAGGCTGCAAGTGCCTCTGCCAGTTGGGGGGTGCCACGGGCTGTGGGTTTGCTGTTTCTCCCTGGGATTGGGTGCCCCATCCCTGAGTCCTGCAGCTGATCAGCCACTTCCAAGTGAGGAGATGCGTGTGGCTGCTGGAGAGGCGGCAGTGAAGGCTGCTGTCAGAGATTCAGGGTTACTGTATGGAGGAAGCAGTCAGATGTCATTTCTCCATTGGTGTGCTGGTAGCAATGAAAGAAGACGTGGGCAGGCAGAGGAGAACGCAGCAGAGGTGAGTTTTCAGAGGAACGTGTGGGTTTTGTTGAACCGTGGCTGGAAACTGGTAATGTGCAGCTGC